CCAGCAGTAGCTCTATTGATGACCTTCATGAAGCAAAAAACACAAAATTGCAACTACAAAAATAATTCCTCAAAATGATATTCGACAAGATGAAATAGGACATTGGCCCGTTATGAAAGATAAAAAAAGGACGATATTGAAAACCTGATTGTAAAGCAGTTCCTGTGCATTATTGTGAAAAGTCCAACGTGTACTTATGTATTAATAAAAATTCGAATTGTTTTTACGATTTTCATCATAATTAAAATTTTTTCATGCTATTCAATAATGATGTTTTTGCACCAATAAATATCTGCAATGAAATTATTGTATTACTTTTAGATGACTATTTCAACTTTTTTTGCAAAAATAATGATAACAATTAAATATTAATATGCCACAAACATAATTATTGATTTCAATTGAATTTAAACATTTTTTCGGAAGAATTTTTAAAATTTTGGAAATTTCGTCCTTAGAGGGTTAACAAAATAAAATGTTCTTAATACATTCGAACATCGGGGAATTACCGTCTTTTAAATTTGTGCGAAATTTCCCCCCGGTCGGTCAAATAGTTTAAAAGGTATTTAATTCATTTATCCCTAAGGCTAAATATTTAAACAATTAAACTTGTTCTATTAATGATGCTGGACACATTTAGAAAATTTCATAGGATTCTTTTAAGGTCGATTCATACACATCAGTCACGTCCCGTCACAGTTTCGGCACCGAACCGAACAATCCGTCATACAAAATATTCTTCTAACACTCTAACACCAGCATTTGTGCATACCTAGAAGCACCACCGGCGGTCAAAATGACGGATATTAGAATTTTCCATTGCCAGCCGTTTTTGTATTCTTTTTTATTTGATAAAAATCTATATTGAGTTAATAACTAATAATAAAAACATATTTAATAAGGAAATCCATTCAACAAATATTTGTACTCGACATCAGCTGCAAGCCAGAATTTAATTCCAAACTTATCGGGTTTATTCGCCATGTACTGGGTAAAGCGGCATCTTGCCTTCGTGGAAAAAAGCTGTTCGTCGATATTTATATTTTCGCCAGGTGTATAACATAATATACAATTCTCTATAAAAGGGTTCCATATTCCCGACGCAAGTGCAAATTTATCTGTTGATAATCGCTCAGACCTGGTATTTCTCATATAAAACTCATTATTTGTGTAAATTTGTTTCTAGACATCGTCTCCTGAAAAAATTTTGGACCCCATGAACCAGACCACAGCATCTTTATGCTAACATTTCGTGCCATATAAGCTCCCCTAGCATACAGTAAGGATATAAATGCTTCGATTTCTTCAATAGAAATTTTCCAATTTTCACCTTTGAGATTTCTTCTACCTTCAGCAACAGTACATGATTTTATGTTACGGAGTACATGTTTACATTCATCAACCAACAGCCGCCATGCACTAGCTGCAGAATCTCTAATAATGCTTCTCTTAGCATGAGGGGTTGGTCCAGCAGCTTCCTTTAGAACATTTTGACTGGTACTGCCTTTCTAAAATGAACGAGATAAATTAGTATGCAGATATATACTCATTTATTTATTTATTTAAATAAATGGCACCGTAATAAATAAAGAATGGAACAACAACCAAGACAACCAAATAAGAGCGCACATCGGAAACGCTAGACCCACCTTCAACCAGATGGGGGCCTTCTTCAAGAGCCATAACCTCTCTCTTGGTATAAAAGTAAGGATGCTGCGATGCTACTTTTTCTCTGTTCTTTTTATGGTGTTGAATAGTTGACCTTGACGAAGATATATGCAGAAAATTGGAAACATTCGAGCTGTGGCTAAATCGGAGAACACTTCGAATCCCGTGGACCACTATCAAATCTCGAAAGTTACAATATTTCGAAAACATTGTGCGAAATGAATCTAGATGCGCCCTTCTACAAGCCATCCTGCAAGGAAAAATATTTGGAAAACGGGGTCCAGGAAGAAGAACATCCTGCAGATAAGGTAAATATTGCTATGATTATCGCCAATATTCGTGACATCAAGAAGAATATGCTCAAAAATATTATACACCCAAGTGAATACATAAATAGAAGCTATTAATATAATAAAGTTGTTTACCTGGTGTACTAGCATTGTTGTCAAGTAACTCCCATCCTATGGTATCTATGGAAGAATTCTCTAAATTGCTTCTGCGAATTCCTCTTACCTGGTTGGTAATCATTTCTGAAGATGTATTAAAGTCTGCATTCGAAGTTGAAGCAGAAGTACTGGGCATCACCTCAATCTCAACTTCACCTTCAGAATCACTGCCCGATGAATGTCCTTGATCAACTGTATTACGCACATACTCGTCAACTTCATTATCGGATACGTCTTCATCAGATAACTCTACTACAGATTCATCTTCTGACAAATTCTGTAGACACTTTAATAGCTCCTGCTGAGTCAAATATCGGCGAGACATGATAACAGCAGAAATAATAAAAATCACGATGTAAAATTAATCAAAATACAGATTGAACATGCAATTGCAAAGAGTTGCATACTCAAACTACATAATAACAAATATTTTCGATGTATTTTATACATAAAATAACTAAAAACTTCCCAGAAAAGTAGAACAAAAATTAGACTAGTACCTATAAAAGAGAAATTATAATCCTCAAGTAAATAATAAAGTCCCAAATCATAAATTTTGTAAAATAAATATGAATGAGTAATACTCTAGACTAATGAGGGTCGAAAGTAGAAAGCAGTCAAAATGACTGCTATATGGTAGTTCTAGGTATACGTTACCATATCTTAGAAAGTAATTACGCTAAGTACCTGTAAAAGAGAAATTATAATCTTCAAATAGATCTAGGAAAAGTCATGGTTTATCAAGTTTCTAAAACATTTATGAATAGGTAATACAGAGTGTCAAAAATGAAAAGCAGTCAAAATGGCCGTTCTGGTGCTTCTAGTGTTAATAGAAATATGCGGCCGGCATTCACATTCATCAGTTGACGAACAGTTTATCAGCAGTCAGGTTTAGACACGTCTATCGCCCGGCCGATTTTATAATATCAGCGACGAATTTTATGGTTTTGCCGGGAACATGACGGACGGTACAAGTAAACAAAATAAAATTATTGACGAACAATTAATAGAATGTTTAAGAAAATATAATGTTTTATATGATTTGTCGCATGCAAAATACATGGACATTAATTTTAAAAATAATATTTGGCAGGAAAGCAATTTATCGACATCATAAAATATTGATGAAATTTTACATCATCACGAAGCAGTTCTTTATACAGTGTCATGTATTATCCTTCGATATATCCATCTTTTTTCTCTTATTCCTCGTCCAAACATATAGCAATTATTGCTAATTCTTCATCCGAGAAACTTTCCATCTTTTCAACAGATTGGTCGCCGAAGATTGATTTTTTCGCATTTCGAGTGTCTGAGAATAGACGAACGAATAGTTCTGTGACCAAACGGGACCGGTTAGGCGCCGGGACTGTCACGGGACTGATGTGTTTGAATCGACCTTAAGACTTAACTGAGTTAGGGACTATTTTTAAAAAATCGTATCTCCATTGTTTATAAACATTAAGAAGTAAAATTTGCACAAATTTTGAATGAAAATCTAAACTTTATATTGAAACTTATAACTATAAAATTCATCCAATTTTTCGAAACCCACATACCTTTAAAACGAAGGTACTTTCGAAAGATCGACATAGGAAAGTGGAGGGATAACTGTTTCGGTCCCGTTTTTTTTTTTCAAGATCGGATCTTCAAATTGAAACACGTAGAAAACATTTACATTATATCGGCTTCCATTGCAGCTAGAAGCCTATTTTTTTTTAATCTGGAGTAGCTCGTCGAAATAAGAATATCCGCATAGTTTTCACTGGTCGGGAAATATGGGAAACCTCGGAAATATTGAGTTCATTTGAAGTTCACCGTAAAAACTTACTTTTTTTTTAATTTGGCTGAAATAGTCTAGGAAATCTCAGAAAATCCGCTGAAATTTAATAACCTGAAATTTAATTTATAAAATATATAAGTATTATTACATCACTGATATAAAATGAAAAAAATATATGTTGATTTTCCGGGATTTTCCAAGATTTTACGGTGAATTTCAAATGGACTCAATTTTTCCGGGGTTTCCCATATTTCCCGGCCAGTGAAAACTATGTAGTTATTCATATTTTGACGAGCTACCCCAGATTAAAAAAAGAGGCTTCTAGCTGCAATGGAAGCTGAGATATTGTAAATTATTCCTACGTGTTTCAATTTGAAGTTCCGATCTCGAAAAAAAAAACGGGCTGAAACAGTTATCCCCTCCACTTTTCTATGTCGATCTTTCGAATGTGCCTTCGTTTAGAAGGGCTGTAAGAAGTGAAAATTGGATAAATTTTATAGCTATAAGTTTCAATATAAAGTTTAGATTTTAATTTAAAATTTGTGCAAATTTTACTTCTTAATGTTTATAAACAATGGAGATACGATTTTTTTAAAAATAGTTAAACTTTAGAATAAAATATCGGTTTTCTAAAGATGGTGTAAGGTTTTTTGCAATTTTAAAATACTCAAACTCAACATAACAAATAAAGATATATTTGGTGTCTATTGCCATTGTCAGTTTAAAAAAAAAATCAAAATTGACATATTTCACTCAATATGTCGTTGTTCTATGTATTTGTGCAAAAGATTGCGACATTGCCAAACTATTATTTCGGAATAAAGTGGGAATACTTATAACTAACTTACCGAGTTTATTTGTAACATATTATTTTAGTATTATATTTACCTTATACTTAGGATAACTATTCTAGGTATAAATACGGAATAACCTTAGAATACGAGTGTTTTATTAGGAAGATAGTACGTGTGTGGACAAACCTGTTTCCAATTTGTCGTTCCAATTGTCTCTACCTACAATTTGTCGTACAATTTGTTGTACGATAGATTGTATCGTGTATGACTTGCTTTAATTCTCTCACTTACATTAATTTTATTTTTCAGAATACATACCGGAAGCCATACGAACAAACTGTGCTAAATGTTCCGATGCACAAAAGCGAATAACAAAAAAGGCTTCTGTCTACATTTTGGAACATAGACCACAGGACTGGGATAAAATTAGAAAGAAATTCGATCCTCAAGGAAAATATCAAGATAGTTTTGCCGCATTTCTTAGGAGTGTAGCTTAAAATAATATCTGTTTTTTACATTATATTAGACTATATTTTTATGACTTATTTATTTTAACAACTAAAATTCTGTCCTATCCAAGCCTAATAATAGATATCACAGAAAGAAGAATAGAAGCAATAAAGAATGACAAAAATATACCAAAATAATAATCCTTCCCTTATAATAAAATTGAACTGGGTAACAAACTCTCAATCAATGGCATCAACATCAAAAGGTTACAGTATAAATAAGGGAACTGAACATGGAATCTTCCATTCAATGCCATTACTACCACCATAACATAAAGAGATGGTACTATCTTTTGTAAACAACTTGCTAAGAAACTTATACCCTAACTCATTTAATGTATCACAAAATAAAACAATTAAAAGCAGCTCAACAAATAACATAACCTATGATTTAATAGAAGATGTGACAATATCTGATGCTTCAGAATACTAAGCCCAAAATAAAAAAAAATAAAGCTTTCACTCCTTTGAATACAATGGAATATGAGATCATATGATGCTAAAGTGGATAACTTAAAATTAATTATCAAAGAATACCACCCTGACATATTATTGCTAAATGAAACATGGTTAAATAATAACCAAATAATCAGATGCAAGGGCTATCAAGTAATTAGAAATTATAGAGATGATTCGTATGGTCGTATAGCCATCCTTATTATGAATGAAGTAGAATTTTATTAAATATAAAGAGGAAAAACAGTTAAGATGTATCCGCTTATACGTATTTCCTCATCATTCCTAATAGGCATCATCAGAACGGCAATTCATAGTCGCTCTAAACGTGAAAATAAATCTCTTCTAGGAAGAAACTCTAATATGGCTTCGAATGGACGCAAATAGCGACATCTGATTTTTGCTTAGTTGATTAATTTTAGATTCACCATGTCGGATTTTATGAAATATCTTTATGTAATAAATTTAATAACAACTCTCAATTCCAAGCAATCTTCCTACCTAAATTCCAAATTAATCTACTTAATACCTTTGTCCCTAATGCAAATACCATATCTAAACAAAAATGGATAAAACTTATCCAGGAAATCAACAAATCAGTAATAGTAATGGGACACCTGAACGCCAACCATGAGGCTTGGGGTAGCCCCTGTAATAATTTCAATGGGAGAAACATCTTCCAAACATTAGATGATCTTAAACTAGTTTTTTTAATGATGGGTCATATACCAGAATAGCACCACCACCAAAAAGATCATCAGAGGTGGATCTAACAATAACATCTAAGGATATTGCTACCAGATCAGCATTACAAATAATTCCTGTCTTAGGATTTAGTGATCATCTACCCACAATGTGCAAAATTGGTGTCCAAAACATTACCATCTACATGCCACCAAGGAATAACAGAAACTTCAAAAAAGCTAATTGGAACCAATATACCTCAGTATTAGAGTCATCATTTACATCATTTCCAAGTGAGAACTACCGATCATTTGCAGAATTAATAAATGAAGCTGCACAGTTGTCCATCTCATTGTACAAATCAAATGTCAATAAACAGTATCGTATCCCATGGTGAGACGAATCTTGCGCTGAAGTCATTAAAGACAGAATTAAGGCAACAAAGCAATTTCAATCAACAGCCAAATTACAAAATTATTTAATATTAAAAAACAAATGTGCTAGAGCTAGAATATTCCTTAAAGAAAAAGGGAAGAATAATTTTAGGAAATTTGTAGAAGGCTTTAATAAAAACTCGCCAATCAAGACAATATGGCACAAGAGATACTGAATTCCTTGGCTCCCCCAGTATACATTTACATCAAAAAAGTATACAAACTAGCAATACAAGTTCACCATTTACCTTTAATGAATACAAATACATAATCAATTCTAAAAAGGAATCTGCTACGGGACTTGAGTTAATTTCATACTCTATGATTAAAAATCTACCTCATTCAGGATCATTACTATTGTTACAAATTTGTAACAAATGCTTAAGTACAGGGACCATCCCGATTGAATGGAAACAGTCATTAATAATTCCAATTCTTAAGCATATGAAAGATAAACTCACTGCAACTAACTATCGGCCTATTGCCCTCACCTCTTGTGTAGGTAAAGTTTTAGAATCAATGATCAAAAATAGGTTTTCCTAAGACCATTGCAGCTAGGTATAAGAAGGGGTAAAGGATGTTTAGAATGTCTATCCTTTTTGACATCTGAAATCCAAAAATAATTTAGGAATAATGAATGTACAATAATAATATTTTTGGATATCCATTCATGTAATGCGTGCCTTGTGTGGAACATGGTGGGACAGTGACCCAAAATATTAAAATTGATCCATAAAGCACTTATCCTAAGTCATTTGAACTACGGGGGTCAATTCCTTTCTACATGTCCTAAATATATATTGAAGAAACTATGTCAGATGCACTACTAAAGTGTCCGGATTATCACAGGATGCATGAAGTAGACTCCAATCCAAGCCTTGTTATCAGTCTGGAGAACTGCCAGTAAAATACAGAAGAGAATGGATAAAAAAAAAATGTTTACTACAAAACCTAAGTATTAAAAACAACCCTGTCATTCAATCAATAATAGTTGAATTAGAAGTAAGGAAAAACCCATATTGATAGCAACTCTTAGAAAAATCCAACCTTTTTTGCAGAACCTATATTCCAGTAAACTTCTCCCTTGCTATGAATATAAACTGGAACTACAACTTCAACCAATAGGAATTCTGAATAAAAACATAAAATATGAATTCAACCTTATGAATTTTGTGAACTTAGTTAAAAAATTCCATTCATACAAAAAATTCTTTAGAGATGGCTCAACGGATACAATGGGAAATGCGGGATTTACCTTCGACCATCCGTATGAGAACGGGTCATTGCTCATCCTCTCTTCATCTATTTAGAATTGGAGTCAAAGATGATCCTTATTGCGAATGTGTCCAAGTGGGAAGCTTAAACCATATTTTAAACCACATTTCGACTGTATGCCGAATTAGCTAAAATTAAACTCCCACTCCAATAAATATTTGCACAATTCTCACAAATATTAATGAAAATATAATAAACACCTTATGCAAATTTATTTCTACCTTCAATATTAAATGATAAACTATGATCTCCCTTCTTTCAGTCCTGGGTGCTTCTACTTAATCCGTCGGTAGCATTTCTGGTGTGTGCAAAGCTTGGAGGCTACCCCCGAGCGAGAAAAGTTTATACCTTTGTTGTGTTGTCTTACTAAAATTTTAGTCTGTGAAGAATATATATAAAAAAATACCAGCACAAGTATACATGTAGAATAACCCAAAACAAACAAAAGAAGAATATAAGTGTAATAGGTAGACACTGATTGCTGAAGCAAGACAAGAAGTGTCTACCCTCGTGGTAAGTCTAGGACATCGCCCCAAAACAGAATAAGAAGAAACTTAATTGACAGCTAATGTGAGGCTATCTTCACTTTGTGTTTCTACTTTATTTATCTATGAATTAATTATTGTAAAGTAAACTGTAAAAAACTATTTATAATAGTCAAAAATCAAGTTTAATCAAATGGAAGTAAAACAAGAAAACAACGAGGAAGCTTGTAAAGTAGAACTAGAGTATAATGATTTGGATAATGCTCTTTTGGATGGTTTTAAATGTGAAATTCAGGAAGAATCAAATAGGCAAAGTACACATGATACATATAATTATTTAGACTTAAAAGAACCTCCCATAAATACTAAAATAGAACCACATGGGAATAAACTTAACCAATTTGAAGAAAACCAAAAAGCTGAAAAAGGTTAGTAACAATTGGGACAATGATTAGTTGCACCCTCATTGTCCCGAAATTGTTTCTCCCATATTTAGCAGTATTATAATTTTTAGGGCATTTCTCAATTGCGGGCACTCTAACCTAACCAAATATATTTTCCTCAAGGCACTGCGTCACAGTGTTGCCGTATTTATTTTAGTAAAATATGTATATGAATGCTACAAATATAAATTTACTTTTACGAAATAATAATTTGTGTTATGAGAAGCTACAAATTTTAAATAAGCATAAAACTTGCCGTATTTTTTTTGTAAAATGTATATGAAGGTTTAAAATATAAGTTACTTTTACGAAATTGTAATTATAATGCATTTCTATTATATACGGTAATTTAATTATTACTATAAATTTTTTATATCATTTTAATCAGTTGTATTGTATATGCATTTGATTATTATCTTTAATTTAACTAAAATCTTTGAATTTTTATATAATTTCAATGCATTTCTATTATATACGGTAATTTAATTAGTACTATTAATTTTTTATATAATTTTAATTAATTTTATTGTATATGCATTTGATTATCATCTTTAATTTAACTAAAATCTATACTATTAATTTTTTATATATCACTTTAATCAACATTTGTATAATATTATGTGAGAGTATGAAAAAACTGGAGACTTGGCAACTCTGACACCATTTAAGCCAACGTTAAATGTCATATAAATGCTTGGTTAGGTTAGAGTGCCCGCAATTGCGAAATGCCCAATTTTTAGGAATATCTTTGCCAGCTAATATAATTTGATTTTGATTAAAATTTAAGGGCATATAAGAATTTAAGCATTTAAATGATATTTTATTTCATTGACATAGGAATTTCAGCTACAGCATTTTCTTTTCAACATATCCTTATCCTTAAAATCATGCATGAAATTTCAGTTCGAATTCGTTAGTCAAGGTGGATGGATGTATTCGAGTTTTGTAAATTAACTGGTGATTGAACTTTTATGAAATATAAGTATAATTAGTCGTTGGTTTCGATATTTGTATTTACTGAGAGCATAGTTGAATTTTTAAAGCGTAAGTAATATCAGAAGAAACGGGCGGCGATAAGACGCCTGATGAAAAAGACACCTACTAATAATAATAGTGATAATGATAACAGGTATATACAACTAATAAATTTTAATAACAGTTGTAGACCAGGTGATAATGGACCGTTTTATGTGTTTGTTGAACACAAAAATAAAAATTTAGGGAGACTTTTTCCAATTAAAGTAGGGCACTTTCTTCTTGGGAATATCTCGGGAAAGAGAAATGTGGGACGTAGGAGGATTTCCTGGTTGCGAAATTTAAGGGAGTGGTATGGGTGCAGTTCAATACAGTTGTTCAGAGCTGAAGCCAACAAAGTAAAGACTGCTGTGATGGTAGTTAACCTCCGATAGGAGACAGTACTGCAAGAAAAGACTTTCTTCTTAAAGATGGAACTTTATAAAAAGATTTATTATATATAAAACCAGTAGGAGTTAATAGGGCAAAATTTATTTTTAATACCTTAGAAATAGCCAATAGCTTAGTTAACCACAATGTAATATTAAAAAACAATTTAATAGAATTTATACCAAAATTCTTTACTCACAAAAAAGGAGTTTTCAGGATGGTAAATTGGACATTGAGAGACATAAAGAACTAATACATAGTCAAAAAAATATTGTGTTTACGAAATTATTTCCGAAGCCTTAATATTTAAATGAACCATTATAATTCCAAAATATCCAGATAATATATTTCTATCAAAATAAATTTTCAAATCTATACTCTGTAATTTAGGAGACAATCAAATAATCAACTATACGGATAGATAAAAAAAAAAGATTTAAAACAGGATGTGCAGTTTTAGCTTCTAATATTAACCATGTTGAGCAATATCAAGTCCCACATTATTGATCGATTTTTAGTGAAGAAGCTATAGCTATTAGAAAAGCTTTATATTGGTGCGAAATGAATTTACCTTTATCTGTAGTAATTGTAACAGACTCTCTTTCAGTTTTGCATGCCAGTAAAAGCCCTCCTTTTAATCAGTATAACAACAATATTCTACTAAATGTGTTGGTTATTCTCAGTTCGTTTGATGTGCAGAATTCCACCATTCTCTTTCCATTTTCATTGATAACTCTTTCGTTAAACCTTTGTTTTATTCCTGGTATTACTTCGTCTCCTATTCTGGCATTGAAATCTCCCAATAATATAAGTAATTCATTTTGCTTCATTTCTCTTTCCACTAATGTTTGTAGCTTATCATAGAATTCTTTATCGCTGCCAGGTTTGCAGTCTTCTGGTGCATATATCCCTATTATATTATTAATTTTGCTGTTCGCCCTAACTTTTACTAAAAATATTCTCTGAGATATGTACTGGCACTCTTTAATTTGATCGTTATATTTTGTTTTGATCATTATTGCTACACCTTCCTTTACTCTTTCTTTTTTCGAAACCCCACTATATATTAGTAAATATTCTCCAAGCCGCATCTGTCCTTTACGTTTCCTCTTTGTTTCCTGTAGGGTGCAGATATATATTTGATATTCTCTCAAGTCTTGTTCTATTTCCTGATCTCGGTTATTTAGGCTTTTTATGTTCCACGTCGCCACTCTCATTATATTTTTCGTTTTCCAGTTCGTCGTCCTTTTTCTCGCCTTTGTCGTTACCATATTTTCTGTCCTACTCCGAGGCTCGTCACTGATTCTTTGAGCTTTTTTTAATTTTTATATATAGCAGGCTGCTAACCTAACCCTACAACCCTCCTTTATCCGGGCTTGGGACCGGCAACATTACCCACCAAGCTACTCGGTCCACCTAGTGGGTAATGCAGGCGGAGTTTAATTATTTTTTAATTTATAAAATATATACTGTAATGGGGCTTTCCCGTCAACTAAATAAATACATATTGTTTTTTGGTGCTAATATGCTTATATTGAATGCATTGAGGTACGCATTAAAAGGCAAGGGCTAACTATTACATATATAAAAGGCAGAAACAAAGGCTTCTGTCTGAAACAAATTTATATCCAACAGTTCTATCTCAAATTTAATTATGCTTTAATTTGATTATTGTATTTCTTTGTTTTTTGCAATTATTTTCCCTTATTCTAAAATATTTGTATTATAGTTAGTTTATGTTTTAGGTTATCCCCAAGAGGAAAACAAAATGGAGACACTAATCAGACATTCATCTAATGAAGCAAATTTGATAATTCCATATGCTGAAGGTAAAACATTCAATCAGAATATGAAAGTTGAGACTAGACAAAGACTTTACAAGTGCGAAATTTGTTTTAAGCAATTTAGTAAATCAAGTCATTTGAAACCACATTTGAGATCTCACACTGGAGAAAAACCTTACAAGTGTGATATTTGTTTTAAGCAGTTTACTACAGGAAGTTCTTTAAAAAGACATTTGAGATCGCACACTGGAGAAAAACCTTACGAGTGTGATATTTGTTGTAAGCAGTTTACTCAGGAAGGTTCTTTGAAAAAACATTTGAGATTGCACACTGGAGAAATACCATACAAGTGCGAAATTTGTTTAAAGCCGTTTACTAATTTAAAAATACATTTAAGATTGCACACTGGAGAAAAACTTTCCAAGTGCGAAATTTGCTGTAAACAGTTTACTACAAAAGGTTCATTGAACGCACATTTGAAATTGCACACTGGAGAAAAACCTTACAAGTGCGAAATTTGTTTGATGCAGTTTTCCCGGAAACATCATTTGGACATTCATGTGAGAGTGCACACTGAACAAAAACCTTACAAGTGTGAAATTTGCTGTAAACAGTTTACTACAAAAGGTTCATTGAACACACATTTGAGAGTGCACACTGGAGAAAAACCTTACAAGTGTGAAATTTGTTTAAAGCAGTTTTCGCAGAAAATTCAATTGGACTTTCATGTGAGAATGCACACTGGAGAAAAACCTTACAAGTGCGAAATTTGTTTAAAGCAGTTTACTGATAATTCTAATTTAAAAATACATTTGAAGGTGCACACCGGTGCATCGAATCGCTTTAAACAAATTTCACACTTTACAAGTGTGAAATTTGTTTAAAGCGATTTACTAATTCATCCCATTTGAAAACACATTTGAGGGTGCACACTGGAGAAAAACCATACAAGTGCGACATTTGTTTGATGCAGTTTTCCCAGAAAAATAATTTGGACGTTCATGTGAAAGTACATACAGGAGAAAAACCTTAGGAGTGCGAAATTTGTTTAAAGCAGTTTACTGATAAAACTAATTTACAAATACATTTAAAGGTGCACACTGGAGAAACACTTTACAAGTGCGAAATTTGTTTAAAGCAATTTATTAATTCAGCTTATTTGAAAACACATTTGAGGGTACACACTAGAGAAAACCCTTACAAATGCGAAATTTGTTTAAATCAGTTTACTGCTAAAGCTAATTTAAAAATACATTTGAGAGTACACACTGGAGAAAAACTTTCCAAGTGTGAAATTTGCTGTAAACAGTTTACTACAAAAGGTTCATTGAAAACACATTTGAGATGTCACAATCGAGAAAACCCTTACAAGTGAGAAATTTGTTTAATGCAGTTTACTGATAAAATTAATTTAAACATATATTTGAGATCGCACATTGGAGAAAAACTTTACAAGTGTCATATTTGTTTTTAAGTAGTTTTCTCGAAATATTACGTTCAAATGACATCTGAAAGTACATACAAGAAATAATCTTAAAATGTGAAATTTGTTTTAAAAGATTTTTTTGATTTTAAAAGATAAAGTTTGAAATTTAATTTAACTGAATATATGCAAGTTCATCTTGGAGAGACTGTAGGGTTGTTAATTATAGTATTTTTTAAAGAAAGAGTAGTATTTTATTTTTCTTGGCAAAGTAGCGTCATTCTTCATCAATATTTATCTCGAATTTTCTGCCTTATTAAGAGTGAAAAATTGCTTTGGAAAAAAATAGGATAAACTTGCGGAAATTTACAAATATATTTTGAAGTGCACTTTCCGTTTTTGAAGTATTTAAGAAGTCATTCTTTATGTGAGTCAATGGAAAATAATGCACTTATACATATCGTCCCTACCATTTCCAATTGTCGAATGTGAAAAATCGGGGTTTCCAGATTTCATACCTTGTCCTTGCATTCGACGTAATACACCTTGTAGCAAAATATCGAAATTGTAGCTTGATAAGGAACGCGGGAAAATTTTGTTTAAACCATCGAATATGAACATTTTGTCATTTTGTTTTGGTCAAAATATCGATTATACTGCAAACTGACGAAAATGAAATATTCGATACTTTTGTTTTGTATAAATATGTATAACTAAAGGCATATTTTGTACGCAAACAAAGTCAACCGCTTTTTCTTTTTATATTTTAAGCACGCAACATAAAAAACATAACAACACTGTCAAACCGAAATATTTTGTTTCATGATCATAGTTGACATTTGCGGCTGCGGCTATATTCTGGATTCTGGTTGCCTTTTAGATGTTCATGTTTTCTTACAGAATACAGTTTTCTTACAACTTACAGTGCTTTCTTATAGAATTTAAATTTACGGGCACTTACAATTTATAGTGATTTCAATTTTCACTTTTTGAGTGTAAAATTATCATTGAAATACACAAAATCAGGTCTAATCAAATGGAAGTAAAACAAGAAAATAGCGAGGGTGTGTGTAAAGTAGAAGTAGAGTATAATGTGTTGAATAATGCTTTTTTGGATGGCTTTAAATGTAAAACCCAGGAAGAATCAAATAGGCAAAGTACATGTAATTATTTAGACTTAAAGGAACATACTAAAATAGAACAAGATGGTAATAAACTTAATTCATGTAGTGAAAACCAAAAAGGCAAAAGTATAGAGAAAGTGCCGATGAAGTTGGCCATAAACGTCATGTCAAATTTGTGTTTGCGGTATTGCCATGTCCTTATTATGTATATGTTTTATGCCTCAAATATCCTTTGAAAAAGTACATTTTTATTATTTTATGAAATTGGGTATTTTTTAAATTGATATAAAACACGAACGACTGAATATTTGTTTCTTATGATATTAGTTGTAGTTAGATATTAGAAAAACATATGGACAGAAAACGATGGCGGTCGAAATGCGAGAAACGGCAGAGGCTGTAGGAACCTCGCTTATATATATATATAGAATATTAGAAAAAAAAAATTATAATTGGTCTTTGGTAGATTAGCAAATAAACTTGGCAATACTGTCAAAACTTTGAAAACACTAGCTGCCACACTGCAACAGATGTTCAGCAGATTTCAATTTTATGACTGTTTTCTTATAATTTTGGGATGAAATGGTACCTGAATAAATGCTTACACAATCAAAGTTAATTTAAATTATAATAAATTAATTAATCTTTTTTTAAAAACTTAAAAAGAATGTTTAGTAACTTAAACAGGCAACTTAGAAATACAAATATACTCTACACTACCTTCCACAATACAAATTATGGTAAAAATGTGCCAATGTACACAATATTGCGTACTTAAATATAAATAAATTCATTATCATCTTTAACATATCAAATAGCAAACTTAAAGAAACAATTCTTGGTATCATAAAGTAAATTTATTATTTTTTATCTTTTATTTTGTTAATTATCTTTTAATTTATAAAATATACATTGTAATGGGAGTTTTCTGTCAAATAAATAAATATTATTGTTTTTTTGTGTTAATCTGCTTATATTAAATGCATTGAAGTAGCATTAAAATGCAAGGGGCTGACTACTACATATATAAAAGACAGAAACACAGTCTTCTAAATTCTTTATTTTTGCATTTATTTTTTCTTATTCTCAAATATTCATATTATATGTTAGTGTATATTTTAGGATATTTTCAAGAAGAAAACAAAATGGAAATTATGGAGACACTAATTGGACATTCATCTTATGAAGGAAATTACTTAAGTCCATACAATGAAAGAAAAACATTCAATCAGAATATGAAAGTTGTGACTGGACAAAGACCTTACAAGTGCGAAATTTGTTTAAAGCAGTTTTCCCGGAAACATTATTTGGACATTCATGTGAGAGTGCACACTGGAGAAAAACTTTACGAGTGTGTAATCTGTTTAAAGCAGTTTATTTCTAAAACTAATTTAAAAATTCATGTGAGAGTGCACACTGGAGAAAAACCTTACAAGTGTGAAATTTGTTTGATGCAGTTTTCCCAGAAAAATAATTTGGACATTCATGTGAGATTGCACACTGGAGAAAAACCTTACAAGTGTGAAATTTGTTTAATGCAGTTTTCCCAGAAAAATCATTTGAATTATCATTTGAGAGTGCACACTGGAGAAAAACCTTACAAGTGTGATATTTGTTTTAAGCAATTTACTACAGGAAGTTCTTTGAAAAGACATTTGAGATCGCAAACACATTTGGAATTTCACACTAAAGAAAAACCTTAAAAGTGTGAAATTTGGCGCAGTTTTGTTATAATATTACATTTAAAGGACACTCGAAAGTACATACAAAAAACATCTCAAAGTGTGAAATTTGTTTAAAAGATTTTTTCTTAAATTTAATTTATCTGTGTATATACAAGTTCATTCTGAAGAGAGCTCTCATCCAAAACGGTTACCGATTTGTAAGAGATCAATCTCAACATACAAAAGCTTTTCTTCCTTACATCAAAGGTATCACACGGATTTATGAAATTCCTTGTGCAGGCTGTCCCCGATCCTATATAGGCCAAACAAATCGTAGAATCCAAAATAGAATTTGTGAACATTTCTGGATATATATATATATATATATATATATATATATATATATATATATATATATATAAACCAAATTTGTTAAGCTATGTTATAAAAATAGAAATCGAATATCCTGTTTTACTGTCAATAGCACCATTAGTTATCCAACCTGGGAATGATTCTACTTCAGAAGACTGACAATTCTTGTTAGTCATTCTAATAAATTTCCTGTTTTTTCCCTCATGACACTATGGAATCACTAACAGGAGAATTTTAAAGACGAATCACATGCTATGATTTTTTTTACGGATATTCTCAAGTTAAAGTTGATTTCATGTAATCGAATGAACTACCTTACAATAAAGTCGTCCCAGGAACGCAACTGAGCAATATTGGCAATATCATTTTAAAGTTGTCTTCTTTAAAATGTATAATATATGTCTGAATTTTCATTATGAATGAGTGAGATAAACTTAAATTATTAGAATAATAATTAACTAAGTAATAAAAAACAAAATTTGTTTAATTTATCTTTAGTAGAGTTTCTACCAAATAGAAATTAGAAATCTAAACGTCAAAAATATACATATTTTAAACTTAAATTGTGGCTTATTCCCATTAAAATTAGTATTTTTTTATATTTTGGCTTTCATTTTATTACCCAGTACTCAGACATTCAAGTGTTTGAACAGCGAATAGCAGATCAATACCGGGTAATTATAAGAAATAATCTTATCCAGGGGACTAGATGCGATATCATCAGAAGCGAAGTCGAACGGGAGATTTATAACCAAGAGCTAGTTGCGGGTCAAGTCCCTAATGAGCAGATTTCTGAGAAATAATGAGTCCCTAATGAGCAGAAAATTTAAGAAATTACTGTTTATAAACAATTATTAGAACATGTAACAAAAAAATGAAATTTTAATTAATAATCAATCAGGTTTTCGAAAACAATTCTCTTGTGAATCAGCGTTACAAGTTACATTATGTCAGATAAAGAGTAATTTAGACAAAGATAAGTACGTAGTCGGTGTATTTCTTGATTTAAAAAGGATTCCGATTATCATCTGAAATGGATAGTAATACAGGGATTCCTCAAATGGCTTATCACCTGAATATTTTCAAGATTTCATTTCTTTCAACAAAAGTATTCATTCTTATAATACCCGAGATTTAGATGACATATATGTACCTAGAACTATGTATAAAAGTACGATGAAGTCGCTCTTTTTTAAAAGCTTCGTTAAATTTAATCAGTTACCAACATCTGTAAAAAAATATAATTTGACTACTCTATACAACTTCTGTATGTACGCGTACGATTTGAATCATTTACTTTCGTCTCTTAAATTAAATGGCGACATTTTTAAACCGGTTAGTATAAGAAAGTCTAAGCGTAAATTTGTACTTTGCGTACGCATGAATCATAGCCGTTTAAAAATCCACTACATCTAATAATTAAAATTCAAAGTATTCCAATTTATTTATTATTCTCTTCACATAAGTCTATATTTACAAATACTAAAACTACTATTCAAAAATTTTTTTACCACCAAAACTCGTTCCATTGGGAACTACCACTGGAAAATTCATAGGTACATCTTCTCTTGCCGATGTTATTGGCGTAATGCTAATCTTCTTTTCGCTTTTTCGACGTCGACTTTATTAAAACCTCATCTGTGAACGTCCTCTTTCTCTTTGTTCCCAGTTCACTCGTTCTAGTTTCTCTTCTAAGCGAAAAATCATTGTGGCTCTCCGCCATCATGAGTATCTCGATAGGTTCTATGCATTCCTGTTGCATCGCTAACGCCATTTTATAAACTAGACTATCGGTTCTATTGTACATTATTGCATTCGTAAACATCAACATCGTATCGCGTTTAAATTCCAAGGTGGATCTAATTGTACCGTTTTCGATATTCTTTTTGATTGTGAGAAGGTCCATCGGTCTGTAAACTGTAGTACTGTAACCTAAAATGCACAAAAATTTATTATAAATTTTTATTATAAATTATAAATTTTTGCAGTAGGATGGATCTCAATGAATCTTTTTGCATTCGATTCGTATGAGTGTCATGAAATTTTGTGAACAAAAATGATGATGTGGAAATCTGCATTATTGAATAGGGAAAATGGATTTTCCAAAGTGCATTTCGAAGTGATGAAAAATGATAAATTTGTAATTCGGCAATATGTAATTGACGGAAATGAATTCAATATTACTACTTGTGGGTACTGTGCACGAATATCAAACTTTGTATAGTCGCCTCGTATTTCGGTGAGACTGTGTAAGAATATATTTATCTGTAATAAAAGCAGGCAATAAAAATTAAAATAAAAGTACTCTACCAGAAGTAGTTATTAACTGCAAAATTATCAATGACTGAGATGTAAAGTTTTAATATCCCCATCGATATTTACATTCAGATGTGCCTGGTATTATGTTTGAAGATATGTACAGTCGCCCAGATAAAGTTATCATCGATGCATTCTTTGCCTAAGATAACAATATTTGCCTGAGCGACCGAAACTAAGGTAGTTTATCCAAATAAATTTCGTTTTGACCGTCCAGTGGTTTACACTTGGGTAGGTAGGAATAATATTTTACTTTATTTTTAAACGAAATATTGTTTATTTGGATGAAACCTGGTATGGTACTCATGACACGGTGAAAATAAGTTGGACGAATAATAACAAAAAGTGTTCTAATTCAGTACCGCCCAATAAAGGACAGAATTATAATTTTACACTGCGGTGTAGAAAATGGATACATCGACGATGTATTATTAATATCTGCAAAAAAAATGAAAGACGTGAATCTAGATTATCATGAGGATATGGAGGGTTCAAGTATAAAAAAGTTCAACTCAGGAACCATAAATGTAAACGTTCAATGTTTTTTTGAAAAAAAAAAACAGAAGTTAGTTTCTATAAAACTCACAAAGAAAGAAAGTACGTAAAAATATGTAAAAGAACAGTAAACTTTATAATTTTACGAAGATACTTTTAAAATGTGGCGCCCGTGGTGTGATAATAATTCTGCAGCTGAAAATCCAGTGGAACCCTCTAATCAATTGGAATATTTACAAAGCTGTGTAGTAAAATGTAAGCGACATTTTCAATATCTCTCTGATGATCCCAAATATATGCTGAAACATGTTTATGAAGGATTGTGTTCTAAATTGTCTAAATTAGAAACAATTGTAGAAACATGTTTATCAGAGTGTCGAAAACGATCTGATACAAGACTATAGGAGCAACATCTTCTTCTAGACAGGTGAGAAAGGATTGTGCAAATTCACACAAATAGAACCGCACCTAAAGGAACATATAATCAGAACAATATATAAAATGGAAGTGGCTATATTTTTACAACTATTGAAAGCTTTCGAAGTGAACTGGTTCGAAAGGATATTCTCTTATATTCAGCAACAACACTTTGATGATTTCTTAAAACCCATAATTTTAAGTAAAAAACTATAGACAAGCGTCAAACACTAATGGAAAGTACTAGAATAATTATTTCTTAAAGGGGCATTTCTATAGATAGATAACTGAGTATCAAAAAATGAAACGAAATCTTGTTTATTTAGATGAGACTTGGTGTGATACTCATGACAGGACAGAGAATTATAATTTTACACTGCGGTGGAGAAAATAGATGGATCGATTATGTATCATTAATATCTGCAAAAAAAATAAAGATGCGTCTTTAGATTATCATGAAGACATGAAAAGTTTAATTTTTGAATCATGGTTTGAAGAATCTCTTCTTCCGAGATTACCTAAATATAGTGTGATTATTATATGGACAACGTATCATATCATTCAAGATTAATGAGAAAATTCCAAATAGTACTTGAAACAAATTCAAGAATTTTTATTTGGGAGAGATTTGTACTTTGAGGCATCATAGTAAAAAGCAATTGTTGGAGATTGTTTATAGTAGACAGTACCAGAAGATATATGTTGTTGATAACTGTACTCGCAGTAATCGGCATACCGTGCTTGGACTTCCTCCTTACTATTGTAAATTGAACCCAATAGAGTTAATATGGACCCAACTTGAAGCAAAAAAAAGAAGAAAAAACGTGGCTCCTAAATTTTTGTCTACTGCTCTCCAGTTAATTAGAAGAAAAGTCACAAAGATCACAGCAACCAACTGCAAAAATGTAATCAAACATGTAATCAAAGTGGAAAATGACTATGTTAAATATTTACCAGCAAAAACCAAATTAACAATAAATTTAGAAGATACAACTGATACTAGTGATAACAGTGAATCTGAGTAGATTTTTAAGTTCTTATTTCCAACTAGGTGTTAGTTGAAACCTTTATTTTTATTGTAATTGTAGATATTCTCGTTTTGCTTATATATCTTTGAAAATAGAGTACAAATACACTTCATGATAGAACAAAATCGTACAACATATCGTTAGGTTAAAATGACAGCGTTCCAACTAACAAAATCGCATATTTGGAGTTATTAGTGTGAAAAGGTTCCAACTGATCTTCCCTATATTTTGATCTGACAACAGCGCTGGCTAACAACGCAATTCTGACTCATTACAATAACAAGGTTCCATCCGTGAACATAAATAAAACCAAACTAGAATGACATTCTACAAATCGACAAATCGAGGTGAACATGAAACCTTGTCACTCAACCAATAAAGGTGGATTTTCACAGGTCCGATATCCGATGGTACGATGATACGATATAAATTTCAGAGAATTTCATTGGTTGAAAAATGACAGGTATAATTTTCGTACGAAATTAAAAGTCATCGGAAGAAGTTAAAAATATTTTAACTTTTGCACGAAAATCGGATGAATTTTGACATTTCTAACTTGAACCTTAACCTTTTTTTTGTGGGGTGTTTATGTTTACTATTTGAAATATATTTAAAATGGTACACAGACCTAATTATTATATAAATGCAATGAATAAAGTGTTGCTTTTGGGTCTTCTACACTATGTGAGGCAAAAATTACGAGAACGTAGCTCAATATAATATATATTATATATCAAAGAAAACAGCTAACATTTATTGACAGTTCATTGAAATAAATATCAATCCATCCAATAATCTGACACATAACACATATATGTTAAAAAATTTCGGATACGACAATCAAATATATTCGTACAAAAAAATTTCGTATTTCGTGTCATCGGATATCGGATCTGTGAAAATCCAGCATAATTAAGATTTGTAGTTGTGTTATTAAAACGTTTGTATACTAAAATACTTTTACCTAAAAATTGTTTAATTGTATGTGATAATTACTTTTATTAACAATTTTTTACAGTTATTATTATTTTACAATAAGTGTTTACTCTTTAGTGAGCCTATTAGTGTTATCACTCCCTAGATATATCACAGAAGTTAACAACACCTATTTTTTTTCTTTAAACTTTATAGAAAATGAAACTTTTTCTTAAATAAAATTAAATAAAAATAAAAACTTTTTTATCTAATTTAAAATTAGATATCTACGCTACTGCTCAACGAAGCAGCGGCCAGTCTAACATTGTTGCCATTTTCTAGGATTTTGCTCGTTCTGGGTTCTATAAATTTTCTCACGAAATTACGTGTCGACTACACAAATTCGTTATTCGGGTGTTTTTGGGATCGTTGATCACGAATATCATGGCAGCGATGATGTGCGACTCGTTTCCTTCATTTTTGCATAAATTCGATACAAAATCAGTGCAAACTCATTACTCGTGTGATTTTGAGGTTGCTTATCACGAATATCATAACGGTGTTGGTCTCCGATACACAACCTCCAAGAGAGCAGGCCTCTCCTGAGCGCAAGATGCTTCGGACACCATCGCCGACATGATATTAGTGTTTAGCGATCCTAAAATCCGCCGAGTTTGCATTAATTTTGTATCGAATTTAAACAAATCTCCAGAAGCTGAGGCCGTCTCTATCTCAGGTGCCTTGCAAACTATCGAGGACATGATATTAGTATTCAGCGAGCCAAAAAAAATCCCTCAGTAATGAGCTTGCACTGATTTTGTATCGAATTTCCAAAAAACTCAAGTTTATCACACTTTAACACTTTGTAAAATACATTTTCCTTATTCAATAATACATTCACAAAATTTCCTGACACTCATACGAATTGAATGCAAAAAGTTTCATTGAGATCCATGCTACTGTAACAATTTGGTAGGTTTATTGCTTACCGAATAAATAAGGTCATACTCATACATAAATAATAATAATATACAGGGTGGTCCTCAAGTAATTGTACAAAAATAAACCGTAGATTCTACACTTTAAAATATTACGATTCAAGTCGAGTTGCTTTAATAAAATGTTGATATTAAGAAAGATACAGGGTGTTAAAGTGGAAATTTAAAATTTTATTCTTCGCTATAACTTTCATGTTTGTCAACATTTATGTATAAAAATTTACAACTGGGTACTATTAAATATCAGAAATTATAATTTAATGTAAACTTTGATGTAGCTGATATTATTACCTAAGTTACCGGTATTTTTAATAACACGTATTAAAGATACATTATTTTAACAAAAAAAGGTATACTTGTTAATATCTTCAAAACTCGACAGTTTTCGAGATAATCGCATTTTAGAAATCAACTACATAATTCTGATTTATCGCAATTACTCCAGGCAACGAAAGAAACTTAAAGAAAAACATCAATACTTCTGAATTTTGGTATAAAATACCTTAATTAAAGTTAATAGTTAACGAATTATTAAATAAAATAAATATATCAACAGGATAATTAATAATAGGATTTGATAAAATAACAGAATGATTGGATTTTACATCAAACATTTTACGTTTTGTATTAAATTAAAGTCATAAAACATTTTATTTACAAATCAAATTAAGAAATAGTTAAACTAAATAACAATAAACTTTTTGTCAAAGTAAGTGTTCAATATGTCCACCATTTTCTTTAATTCATTTGTCAATACATTTCA